CTTTTTTTAGTTTTTTTTTTTTTTGGGGGGGGGGGTGGCTTTTTAATGTGCACGCTGCCTCCTAGGAAGGGATTAAAAAATGAATCTAAAAATGCAGCGGATTTCCCCCTCCACCCCACTCTTTAGTTTATAGAAGACGCAAGATGATCCCTTTTTAGGGGAAAAAAAAGCCCCAGGAAGAAAAGAACACCCCTCCACCCCCCCATAAATTATCAGATCAATAAGGTTAAGAGTAGTGAAGAGAAGTTGCAGCTAATCTTGTAATGTTGTTATTAGGAGCTGCCGGGGAGCCGCCGGCGGCGGGAGGCGCCGCCCCTTCCGTGCGAAACGTTCACTTCCTCGCAAGGTGGTACGAATCAACCCAGAGCCGCTAGCAACCGCTAGTGGATACCGCGCGCCGATTTGGGAGAGGAGAAAAAAACACCGCGATTTAGGAAAGGCTTGGCAAGCATCTCCGGGATCTCTGTGTGTCCGCGCGCTGTCTGCTCTTCCAGCTGGGAGATGCCCCGATGCGCACGACGTGTACTTTGCGCCCCTCTGGATTTGAGAGCTCTGCCTTGCACATGAATTCCCTTCCCCCTCTTTCTGTGACATTAAAAAATATTGCCTTCTGGCCAAAAATATCCCTCCCCCCAACCAATTCTGTCAGATCTTTGCTATAGGTTTTTTGGTTGTTTTCAATCAACCCTGCAATGTTAGAATTACTTTTGGGAGAGAGGGGGTTGTTGGTTGGCTGCAGCCGTGTTGGTCTCAGGACAGGCAGGCAAGGTTCTTTGGGCAGATGTGACCTCTTTTATTAGACCAACTAAACAGTCAGAAATTTTAGTTGCAAATTGGTCTTTGCAAGCTTTTGGGCACAAACCCTTTTAGGAGGAAGACCCTGCCAGTGGGTCAAAGGTCTGAAGTTAAGTGTCTTAAAAAATGCCCAGTCTCTGGTGCTTGCTCTTAGAAGAAGGTGGGAGGTTATTTAGGACAGATGTGGGGGAGGGAAAGACCTCGTGTGCAACTCTCCTCCAATTAACTGCCCCGTGTCCATATCTCATCTCTCATTTGCACAGTATTAATAATTAAAAATATCAAAAATCCCACCCCCCCTTTGCCCGAAAGGAAGCAAACTTGTAGCTTCAAGCGTTTCCTTTTAGGAACCCCGTGTTTGTTTGGTTTTTTTATTTGCTTTCCTGAGTTGAAAAGGCAAAGAGAAGGACCCTTCTATTCTTGCAGTCAGTAGTATGTGTACCCCCAAACATAAATTGTGCAAAATCTTTTAGCAGCCTCTCATATGCTGCAGCTCTCGCTCTGCAATCTGGTGGTATTTGCCAGGAAGGGTGAAGTGCACCTCTCCCACAACTCATCCTAAATCCAGGGCTGGTTATGTGCGTGCCAAGGTTAGCTCTCATCTCTTTGCTTTTTAAGTTTGCCAGAACTAGACCTCTGTTTAAGTTAAATCAGCACATGCGTCTTGCACAGTACTTTAGCGAGTGGATTACAATGACAAAACCCTCCATGTGTGCCTTACATGAGAAATCTTTTATGCGATGCTGTATTAAGACTTCTTCTTTTTTTGTCATATTGTTTAGCCCTGGAAAAAAAATGAAAACAAAGCAATTAAAAAGATTGACAGGTATGGGTTTGTGTGAGACCTATTTGTAATTGTCAGGGTGACGTTGGCAAGAGGAGGAGGAGTAAGAAACTGAAGCAGGAAAAGCAGCTCGATGTGTCTGTCTATCAGTTGAGACTGTCTGAAAGCTCTGGGATCTGAATGTGTGTTATATTTCAGTGAAAAGAGAAGAGAGGGAGAGTGGATCTCTTTCTCTCCCAGGAGTTTAAAGGGGGGGGGGGAAACAGTTCACGTTAATCTCTCCTACTCAGTGAATATCTTTGTTTTTTCCCCCCCTTTGCACACACTCTCTGGGGTTTTTCTTGGTTTTGGCTTTTTTTATTATTATTTTATTTTTCTATTGCAGATCAAGATCAGCCAAAAAAAATCCATGATAAAAATGTGTTTGCATTATATTTAGTATCAGAAGAAGCTGCGATTTGTGGAGGAAAAAAAAAAAGGGGGCAGCAAAGCAGAAAAGTAGTCCTCTCCGGTGGTGACACTGTTTGATCTGTGACTGTTTGGAAGGTGGAGGAGTGACTGACATTTCCCATCCGGTGTCTATGTATGTATGGGGGCTTTACTCCTTTTTTTTTATATTCTTTGCTTTCTTGCTCTTAGACTAAGTGCTGGGAGGAGAAGGAGAGTCTGGATCGACCTCGGTTTTTTTTGCACAATGAAAAAACTATTCTCAGCGCAATAATAATAATAATAATAACACCCAACAACAACACCACACAAATCCACGAGCTTGAAACAAGCCGGCGAGCCAGCGAGAGAGAGAGAAAGTTGCGCTTTGAGACTCTTTGATCTTGGAGAAAGGCTGAGAGAGGGGAGGGGGGGAGTGACTGAATTTACCGTCTCATCGCTGCTGCTTGCTCAGTTCTCCACCAAGACGAAGAAGAAGTGATTAAGGAAAGGAGGGGGAAAAAGGGAAAGAGAGAGAGAGAGAGAGGAAAAAAAAAAAGGACGAACGAAAGATAATGGATTTGGGCTGCAGATTGAACTGATCCCATCTTATTTATTTTGCACATCTCCACTTGCATCTTCCCTGCTGCTGCTGCTGCTGCTGCTCAGAGGACTGAAGAGCTTTGTCTTCTAAGGAACTTAAAAGAGAGAGAGAAAAAAGAGAGAGAGAGAGATCCAGGGAAGGAAAATTAACCTTGTAAATGAAAACATTTCCTAAGCAAGTTTTTGGAGTGGTGGCGGAAATTGGCACCCCTATCACCCGTCTGTGGCTGGCCTGATCCCACACCCCAGCACCCCCCCCTCCCTCCACACCCCACTCGCATCTCCAGGAGCCGACCTGGAGGGGGGGGGGCCGAGCCGCCGAGAAGAGAAGCCAAGCAAACTTTTTTTTTCTTCCTCCCCCCTCCTCCTCCTCCTCCTCCTCTCCCTCTCTCCCATTCCTCCCCACCCTCCCTCTCTCCTCCTAGGCGGCATTAGAAGTTGAATCCCATTTTCACTCTCCTTGCCCCCCCCTCCCCCTTCCCTCATCCTTCCTTTTTTTTTAATTTTGTATTTGTGTGTGTGTGTATGTGTGTGTGCGTGTGCGCGCGTGTGTTTGTTTCTGCATGAAAAGAGTGGGATTGGAAGAGGAGTCCTGTGCGGAAACTCTCCAGCGGCGACAGAGGAGGGCGGCGGAGGAGGAGGCGGCAGCACCAGCATGCCGAGGAGAAAGCAGCAAGCACCCCGGCGCTCTGCAGGTAACACCCTCCTCCTCCCCCCCACACAGTCCCTCTCGCGCACACTGCCTCGCTGCAGCAGCACAGGGGTGCAGCCGGGGCACGGGAGGGGAGGGGTTAAACCCAGCCACAAACCCCAGGCATGGATGGGAAGAGATCTCTGCAGATTTCAGACATCCCCGATTATTTTTTTATTATTACATTGGGGGGGGGGGAGAG